TTAACATTACAGTATACAGGCAGCTACAGTATTAACATTACAGTATACAGGCAGCTACAGTATTAACTTTACAGTATACAGGCAGCTACTGTATTAACATTACAGAATACCGGCAGCTACTGTATTAACATTACAGTATACAGGCAGCTACAGTATTAACATTACAGTATACAGGCAGCTACTGTATTAACATTACTGTATACAGGCAGCTGCAGTATTAACATTACAGTATTCAGGCAGCTACTGAAATTAACATTACAGTAAAACCGGCAGCTACTGTTTTAAAACATTACAGTATACAGGCAGCTACATTATTAACATTACAGTATACAGGCAGCTACAGTATTAACATTACAGTATACAGGCAGCTACTGTATTAACATTACAGTATACATGCAGCTACAGTATTAACATTACAGTATACAGGAAGCTACTGTATTAACATTGCAGTATACAGGCAGCTACAGTATTAACATTACAGTATACATGCAGCTACTGTATTAACATTACAGTATACAGGCAGCTACAGTATTAACATTACAGTATACAGGCAGCTACAGTATTAACATTACAGTATACAGGCAGCTACAGTATTAACATTACAGTATACAGGCAGCTACAGTATTAACATTACAGTATACATGCAGCTACAGTATTAACATTACAGTATACAGCAGCTACAGTATTAACATTACAGTACAGGCAGCTACAGTATTAACATTACAGTATACAGGCTGCTACAGTATTAACATTACAGTATAAGGCACTACGTATTAACTTTACAGTATACAGGCAGCTACAGTATTAACTTTACAGCATACAGGCAGTACAGTTTAACATTACAGTATACAGGCAGCTAATGCATTAACATTACAGTATACAGGCACTACTGTATTAACATTACAGTATACCGGCAGCTACTGAAATTAACATTAAAATACAGCAGCTACAGTATTAACATTACAGTATACAGGCAGCTACAGTATTAACATTACAGTATACAGGCAGCTACAGTATTAACATTACAGTATACATGCAGCTACAGTATTAACATTACAGTATGCAGGCAGCTACTGTATTAACATTGCAGTATACAGGCAGCTACAGTATTAACATTACAGTATACATGCAGCTACTGTATTAACATTACAGTATACAGGCAGCTACAGTATTAACATTACAATATACAGGCAGCTACAGTATAAACATTACAGTATACAGGCAGCTATAGTTTTAAAACTTTAAACAGTATACAGGCAGCAAACAGTATTAACATTACAGTATACATGCAGCTACAGTATAACATTACAGTATACAGGCAGCTCAGTATTAACATTACGTAAACAGGCAGCTACTGTATTACCATTACAGTATACAGGCAGCTACAGTATTAACATTGCAGTATACAGGCAGCTACTGTATTAACATTACAGTATACAGGCAGCTACTGTATTAACATTACAGTATACAGGCAGCTACAGTATTAACATTACAGTATACAGGCAGCTACAGTATTAACATTACAGTATACAGGCAGCTACTGTATTAACATTACAGTATACAGGCAGCTACAGTATTAACATTACAGTAAAACAGGCAGCTACAGTATTAACTTTACAGTAACGGGCCCAGCTACGGTATTAACATTACAGTATACAGGCAGCTACAGTATTAACATGCAGTATAAAAGGCAGCTACTGTATTAACATTACAGTATACAGGCAGCTACTGTATTAACATTACAGTATACAGGCAGCTACAGTATTAACATTGCAGTATACAGGCAGCTACTGTATTAACATTACAGTATACAGGCAGCTACTGTATTAACATTACAGTATACAGGCAGCTACAGTATTAACATTACAGTATACAGGCAGCTACAGTATTAACTTTACAGTATACAGGCAGCTACGGTATTAACATTACAGTATACAGGCAGCTACAGTATTAACATTACAGTGTACAATCAGGTACAGTATTAACATTACAGTATACAGGCAGCTACGTTTTTAACTTTACGGTATACAGGCAGCTACAGTATTAACATTACAGTATACAGGCAGATACAGTATTAACATTACAGTATACAGGCAGCTACAGTATTAACATTACAGTATACAGGCAGCTACAGTATTAACTTTAAAAAGTATAAAGGCAGCTACAGTATTAACATTACAGTATACAGGCAGCTACAGTATTAACATTACAGTAAAAAACAGGCAGCAAACAGTATTAACATTACAGTATACAGGCAGGTACAGTATTAACATTACAGTATACAGGCAGCTACAGTATTAACATTACAGTATACAGGCAGCTACAGTATTAACATTACAGTATACAGGCAGCTACAGTGTTAATATTACAGTATACAGGCAGCTACAGTATTAACATTGCAGTATACAGCCTGCTACAGTATTAACATTACAGTATACAGGCAGCTACAGTGTTAATATTACAGTATACAGGCAGCTACAGTATTAACATTGCAGTATACAGCAAGCTACAGTATTAACATTACAGTATACAGGCAGCTACAGTATTAACATTACAGTATACAGGCAGCTACTGTATTAACATTGCAGTATACAGCCAGCTACAGTATTAACATTACAGTATACAGGCAGCTACTGTATTAACATTGCAGTATACAGCCAGCTACAGTATTAACATTACAGTACAGGCAGCTACAGTATTAACATTACAGTATAACAGGCAGCTACTGAAATTAACATTGCAGTATACAGCCAGCTACAGTATTAACATTACAGTATACAGGCAGCTACTGTATTAACATTGCAGTATACAGCCAGCTACAGTATTAACATTACAGTATACAGGCAGCTACTGTATTAACATTACAGTATACAGGCAGCTACAGTATTAACTTTACAGCATACAGGCAGCTACAGTATTAACATTACAGTATACAGGCAGCTAATGTATTAACATTACAGTAAAACAGGCAGCTACGTATTAACATTACAGTATACCGGCAGCTACTGTATTAACATTACAGTATACAGGCAGCTACAGTATTAACATTACAGTATACAGGCAGCTACAGTATTAACATTACAGTATACAGGCAGCTACTGTATTAACATTACAGTATACATGCAGCTACAGTATTAACATTACAGTATGCAGGCAGCTACTGTATTAACATTGCAGTATACAGGCAGCTACAGTATTAACATTACAGTATACATGCAGCTACTGTATTAACATTACAGTATACGGGCAGCTACAGATTAACATTACAATATACAGGCAGCTACAGTTTAACATACAGTATACAGGCAGCTACAGTATTAACATACAGATACGGGCAGCTACAGTATTAACATTACAGTAACATGCAGCTACATTTAATTAACAAAACAGAAATACAGGCAGCTACAGTATTAACATTACAGTATACAGGCAGCTACTGTTTTAAACCATTACAGTATACGGGCCCAGCTACAGTATTAACATTGCAGTATACAGGCACTACTGTATTAACATTACAGTATACAGGCAGCTACTTATTAACATTACAGTATACAGGCAGCTACTGTATTAACATTACAGTATACAGGCAGCACGTATTAACATTACAGTATACAGGCACTACAGTATTAACATTACAGTATACAGGCAGCTACAGTAAAAATTTTTACAGTATACAGGCAGCTACGGTATTAACATTACAGTATACAGGCAGCTACAGAAATTAACATTGCAGTATACGGGCAGCTACTGTATTAACATTACAGTATACAGGCAGCTACTGTATTAACATTACAGTATACAGGCAGCTACAGTATTAACATTGCAGTATACAGGCAGCTACTGTATTAACATTACAGTATAACAGGCAGCTACTGATTAAACATTACAGTATACAGGCAGCTACAGTATTAACTTTACAGTATACAGGCAGCTACAGAAAATTACTTTACAGTATACAGGCAGCTACGGTATTAACATTACAGTATACAGGCAGCTACAGTATTAACTTTACAGTATACATGCAGCTACAGTATTAACATTACAGTATACAGGCACCAACAGTATTAATTTTACAGTATACAGGCAGCTACAGTATTAACATTACAGTATACAGGCAGCTACAGTATTAACATTACAGTATACAGGCAGCTACTGTATTAACATTACAGTATACAGGCAGCTACAGTATTAACATTACAGTATAAAGGCAGCTACAGAATTAACATTACAGTATACAGGCAGCTACAGTATTAACATTACAGTATACAGGCAGCTACAGTATTAACATTACAGTATACAGGCAGGTACAGTATTAACATTACAGTATACAGGCAGCTACAGTATTAACATTACAGTATACAGGCAGCTACAGTATTAACATTACAGTATACAGGCAGCTACAGTGTTAATATTACAGTATACAGGCAGCTACAGTATTAACATTGCAGTATACAGCCTGCTACAGTATTAACATTACAGTATACAGGCAGCTACAGTGTTAATATTACAGTATACAGGCAGCTACAGTATTAACATTGCAGTATACAGCCAGCTACAGTATTAACATTACAGTATACAGGCAGCTACAGTATTAACATTACAGTATACAGGCAGCTACAGTATTAACATTGCAGTATACAGACAGCTACAGTATTAACATTACAGTATACAGGCAGCTACTGTATTAACATTGCAGTATACAGCCAGCTACAGTATTAACATTACAGTATACAGGCAGCTACAGTATTAACATTACAGTAATACAGGCAGCTACTGTATTAACATTGCAGTATACAGCCAGCAAACATATTAACATACAGTATACGGGCAGCTACTGTATTAACATTGCAGTATACAGCCAGCTACAGTATTAACATTACAGTATACAGGCAGCTACTGTATTAACATTACAGTATACAGGCAGCTACAGTAAAGTTCCTTTTAGCTAAATTGTTTAAGTCTTTTCTTTATTAAGTATTAAAATGACATATTTTTTTCAGAATTGGTGGAAACGTTGAGCGAGATGAATCAGATGAATCAGATGAACCAGATGAATCAGATGAACCATAATAATCTGATGAATCAGATGAATCAGATGAACCATAATAATCTGATGAATCAGATGAACCACAATAATCAGATGAATCAGATGAACCATAATAATTTGATGAATCAAATGAACCATATTAATCAGATGAATCAAATGAACCATTTTAATCCGATGAATCAGATGAACCATATTAATCAGATGAATCAGATGAGCCATATTAATCAGACTGATCAGATGAACCATATTAATCAGATGAATCGGGTTATTGAGTATCTGTTCTGAGACAATAAATTTGTGAGTCTTGCAAGAAGAGTAAGTTTGGATGATTTATCCAGGCCAGGAAGTCTGGATGATTTGTCCAGGCCAGGAAGTCTGGATGATTTATCCAGGTCAGGAAGTCTGGATGATTTGTCCAGGTCAGGAAGTCTGGATGATTTGTCCAGGTCAGGAAGTCTGGATGACTTCTCCAGGTCATCAAGTCTGGATGACTTGTCCAGACCACAAACCTGGATAACTTGTCTAGATCAGCATGACTGGATAGCTTGTCCTGACTACTAAGCCTGGATAATTTGTTCAGACCTGTAAGCCAGGATATCTTGTTCATGCTAGAATGCCTTGATAACTTATAGTAAACCAGGATAACTTTCAAATCAGTAAGCCAGGATAACTTTCCCCGACAAGTTATACAGGTTTTTCCTACCAGTTATCCAGGATAACATTTTCAACAAGTCTGGATATTTTATCCATCTTATTTCTCATTGTTTACGTGTGACTCTTAACATTGGTTTCATTGTTTCCTGTATGACTCTTAAACATTGTTCATTGTTTACTGTGACTATTAACATTTGTTCATTGTTTAATGTTGACTCTGGAACATTGTTTCATTTTTTCTGTGGACTCTTAACATTGTTCATGGGTTAATGTGACTCTTAAATTGGTTCATTGTTTACTGTGACTCTTAACATTGTTCATTGTTTACTGTGACTCTTAACATTGTTCAGTGTTTATTGTGACTCTTAACATTGTTCAGTGTTTATTGTGACTTTTAACAGTGTTCAATGTTAAAATATTCTAGTTTGTAAGTTATTCACAGTACTGTTAATAAATCTAACATACTGTTATGACAAGTTAATTAATAATGTTTAAACAATGACGTCTTATAAATACCAATAATTTAAGAAATAACGAATATGAAGGTTAAAGTTTACACTGTGTTACTTAATACTGTCAGTGTTTAACATTGACAGTATTAAGTAACACAGTGTTAAACATTGACAGTATTAAGTAACACAGTGTTAAACATTGACAGTATTAAGTAACACAGTGTTAAACATTGACAGTATTAAGTATTACACAGTGTTAAACATTGACAGTATTAAGTTAACACAGTGTTGCTAAACATTGACTGTATTAAAGTAACAGTGTTATACAATTGACGTATAAGTGCAACAGTGTTAAGCATTGACAGTATTAAGTAACACAGTGTTAAACATTGACAGTATTAAGTAACAGTGTTAAACATTGACAGTATTAAGTAGCACAGTGTTAAGCATTGACAGTATTAAGTAACACAGTGTTAAACATTGACTGATATAAGTAACCAGTGGTTAAACTTGACAGTATTAAGTAAACACAGTGTTAAACATTGACAGTATTAAGTAAAAGCACAGTGTTGAACATCGACATTAATTAAGTAAAACGTGTTAAACATGACAGTATTAAGTACACAGTGTTAAACATTTACGTTTTAAGTAACCACAGTGTTAAACATTGACAGTATTAAGTAACAGTGTTAAACATTGACAGTATTAAGTAGCACAGTGTTAAGCATTGACAGTATTAAGTAACACAGTGTTAAACATTGACAGTATTAAGTAACAGTGTTAAACATTGACAGTATTAAGTAGCACAGTGTTAAGCATTGACTGGTATTTAAGTAATACAGTGTTCCAAACATTGGACAGTATTATGTACAGTGTATAACATTGACAGTATTAAGTAACACAGTGTTAAACATTGACAGTATTAAGTAACACAGTGTTGAACATCGACAGTATTAAGTAACACAGTGTTAAACATTGACAGTATTAAGTAACACAGTGTTGAACATCGACAGTATTAAGTAAACAGTTGTTAATATTGACAGTATTAAGTAACACAGTGTTAAACATTGACAGTATTAAGTAACACAGTGTTAAACATTGACAGTATTAAGAAACACAGTGTTAAACATTAATGCTATTAAGTAACACAGTGTTAAACATCGACATTGAAAGTGTTATGTAACACAGTGTTACTTATTACTGTCAATTTTTAACACTGTGTTACTTAATACTGTCTTGTTTACACTGCGTTACTGCTACTCTTCATGTTTTCGCTGCGTTACTTAATATTATCAATGTTTGCACTCTGTTGCTTAATACTGTCAATGTTTAACACTGTGTTACTTAATATTGTCAATGTTTAACACTGTGTTACTTAATACTGTCAATGTTTAACACTGTGTTACTTAATACTGTCAATGTTTAACACTGTGTTACTTAATACTGTCAACGTTTATTCTCTGCTACTAACCATGTTCTATGTTTAACACTGTGTTACTTCACACTGTGGTTACTGAATACTGTCAATGTGTATACTCTGTGTTAGCTAAATACTGTCAAGTTTATTCTCTGCTACCTAAACAGGTCAATGGTTTAACACTGTGTTTACTTAACACTGTGTTACTTAATACTGTCAATGTTTAACACTGTGTTACTTAATACTGTCACTGTTTAACACTGTGCTACTTAATACTGTCAGTGTTTAACACTGTGTTACTTAATCCTGTCAATGTTCTTTAACACTGTTGTTACCTTAATACTGTCAACGTTTTATTCTTGCTACCTAACACTGTCAATGTTTAACACTGTGTTACTTAACACTGTGTTACTTAGTACTGTCAATGTTTAACACTGTGTTACTTAATACTGTCAACGTTTATTCTCTGCTACCTAACACTGTCAATGTTTAACACTGTGTTACTTAACACTGTGTTACTTAATACTGTCAATGTTTAACACTGTGTTACTTAATACTGTCACTGTTTAACACTGTGTTACTTAATACTGTCAATGTTTACACTGTGTTACTTAATACTGTCACTGTTTAACACTGTGTTATTCATACTGTCATTGTTTACACTGTGTTTCTTAATACTGTCACGTTTAACTCTGTGTTACTTAATACTGTCAAGTTCTAACACTGTGTTACTTATTACTGTACTGTTTAACCAATGTGTACTTAATACTGTCAATGTTTAACACTGTGTTACTTAATACTGTCAGTGTTTAACACTGTGTTACTTAATACTGTCAATGTTTACACTGTGTTACTTAATACTGTCACTGTTTAACACTGTGTTACTTAATACTGTCAATGTTTTACACTGTGTTAATTATACTGTCACTGTTTTTAACACTGTGTTACTTAATACTGTCAATGTTTAACACTGTGTTACTTAATACTGTCACTGTTTAACACTGTGTTACTTAATACTGTCAATGTTTACACTGTGTTACTTAATACTGTCACTGTTTAACACTGTGTTACTTAATACTGTCACTGTTTAACACTGTGTTACTTAATACTGTCACTGTTTAACACTGTGTTACTTAATACTGTCACTGTTTAACACTGTGTTATTTAATGCTGTCACTGTTTAACACTGTGTAAATTTATTACTGTTTGTCAATGTTTAACACTGTGTTACTTTATACTGTCAATGTTTTAACACGGTTTATTTAATGCTGGTCACTGTTTATCACTCGTTGTTACTTATTACTGGTCGATGTTCAACACTGTGTTACTTAATACTGTCACTGTTTAACACTGTGTTACTTAATACTGTCACTGTTTAACACTGTGCTACTTAATACTGTCAGTGTTTAACACTGTGTTACTTAATACTGTCAGTGTTTAACACTGTGTTACTTAATACTGTCAACGTTTATTCTCTGCTACCTAACACTGTCAATGTTTAACACTGTGTTACTTAACACTGTGTTACTTAATACTGTCAATGTTTAACACTGTGTTACTTAATACTGTCAACGTTTTTTTCTCTTCTTACCTAACTCTGTCATGGTTTAACATCTGTGTTACTTACACTTGTGTTACTTAAATACTGTCAATGTTTAAACACTGTGTTACTTAATTACTGTAACTGTTTAAACACTGTGCTACTTAAATACTGTCAGTGTTTAAAACTGTGTTACTTTAATACTGTCAATGTTTTACACTGTGTTACTTATTACTGTCAAAAACGTTCTAATTCTCTGCTCCTAACACTTTTCAATGTTTAACACTGTGGTACTTAACACTGTGTTACTTAATACTGTCAATGTTTAACACTGTGTTACTTAATACTGTCACTGTTTAACACTGTGCTACTTAATACTGTCAGTGTTTAACACTGTGTTACTTAATACTGTCAATGTTTTCACTGTGTTACTTAATACTGTCTATGTTTATCTCTGTGTTACTTATTTACTGTCAATGTTAACACTGTGTTATTAATACTGTCATGCTTTTTAACACTGTGTTACTTAATAACTGTCTCTGTTTACACTGTGTACTTAGCATTGTCATTGTTTAACACTGTGTTTACTTAATACTGGTCACGGTTTAACATGTTATTTATGCTGTCACTGTTTAACACTGTGTTACTTAATACTGTCACTGTTGAACTCTGTGTTACTTATTACTGTCACTGTTTAATCACTGTGTACGTAATACTGTCAATGTTTTTAACACTGTGTTACTTTTTATGTCAATGTTTCGAACACTGTGTGTTACTTAATACTGTCACTGTTTATCACTGCGTGTTACTTAATACTGTTACTGTTTAACACTGTGTTGTTAACTTTACTGTCACTGTTTAACACTGTGTTACTTATTAATGTCACGGTTTTTTTACACTGTGTTACTTCAATACTGTCACTGTGTTACACTGTGTTACTTTATTACTGGCATGTTTAAC